GATGCTCTAGAGATCCGCGCGGTGCCCGTGCCCGTCAGAGGCGCTGCAAGGGGGTCCCTGCCTTTGCCTAGACCCACTCCTGAGTGGGATGTGGGCGCCGCGGGGGCTTCAGCGCAGCCTCACCAGCAGGTAGAGGTAACGCTCGCTTTTTTTTTGGTCAAACCCAGCCTCTTCCTGGGCTGGAGAAAGCCAAACCCTGGGAGAAAGCACAAACGTAGCTTGGCCAGGGAAACTTGGTAGAGTTTCTGGTCTGCGGTTAGGTCCGTGGTGCAAGGTTAAGGTGCTTGGAACATCTCCTTTGCGGACTCTTCTGCTCATCCATGCTGAGGTTTATTTCTCCCACCAGAGGACACGAGGGCTCGGCACCAGGAGGAGCAGGCACAGCACCTCCCAGAGCAGAGTCCCTCACAGACCCCACGGGCTGGACCTCTCATCGAGAACCCTTCACAGCACGTCCTACGGAGTGGGGTAAGTGACAAGGAAGCGCTGGGTGACAAAGCACCAACCCAAACCTGCCCAGATGGTTTCACACGTGGCTCGGACAAGCCCTCGTAGGGCTGGGGATTGCCGCTGTAGCTGGGTCTGAACACACCACCTTTCCCTCCAGGAGGGGAAGCCAAGTCCTTCTGCTCTTCCTCGGCTGCCCAGCTTTGACCCCTTGGTTTCAGAGGTGGCAGAGGTCCACGCTCCCCCGGTGGGTGATGGTGGCCCCATAGCAAAGCCCTTTTCTCCGTACAGGCAGCAGCAGGGCTTCGGCAGCAGCTTGCCTTGCTCTTCACCCCTCGGGCGGTGGCTTGGTCAATTAAGATACTGTCAATTAAAGGAGCTGGGTGAGCAACTCGCAGTGAAATTTTCACCCTTTGATGTCTTCTTGTCTCTAGCTGGCCCGGAAAGTTCAATTCGGTCTTTGCACACAGCAGTCCCCAGGTCTCTCATCTTTGCCATGCGACCAAGGACACAGCCAAAATGCAAGGGGGTTTTGCCGCTTGCCGCGATGCTCCCCGCAGCCCTTCCTCTGCGACGCAGCTGGCAAGAAAAAGCCCTTTGATGGGGGGGGAGCCTGCTCTAACGCTGGGGATTATTTGATGGTGTCCTCTGGTGCTAGCTTCAAAACGCGATCCCGCTGCTGGAAGCCACGCAGGGATGCGCGCCCGGAGGAGCGGCATCATGAAGGGTGCTCAGTCTAGGTGGTCCCCAAAGTGCTGGGCAAGAGCTGCTGGACGGCTGCAGGGACCCACATAGGGAAAACATCTGAAAAGGGGCTGATCTGCAGTGTTTAGGTACGTTTTTAAAGCTTTTTGTATGAACTAGTAAGCGCATCGTTAACCAGGCACCTGAAGGAGCAGAGAAAAGCCCGCTCCAGCGCGGCTGCGCGCCCCAAAACGCGCGGAAACCCTCGGCCCGGCCACCGCCTTCTCCCCGTCCCGTCACGGCGGGGTTCGCCCGTGCAGCCGGCTCCTCAAAGGCCTCCGGTTCGGGGCGACGCATCTCGGCGCAGCTCGAACCCCAGCAGCGCAGCGCCCATCTCGACGCTGCCCTCCCTCCCCCAGACGTGGGAACGGAGGGAAACCAGCCCCGCGAGACCTTCCCACCGCTTCCTGGCGCGCCGGGCTTCCTCCAGCGAATCTCGGGCTCCTTTACCAGCACAGCCGGGGAGCCCGCTTTTATTTCTCCTGCCGCACATCCACCCTGAGCCCATCCCGTCTCGGCCGTCGGGCGAGCTGCGCGCACGAGCGTTTGCCAAGCCGACGGCTCCAGCCGTTCCCCCTCGGCTGAGCAGATCCTGAAGCCAGGATGCAGGCTGCCACCTCTTGGCAGAACCGAAAAGATCCCATATAATTAACTTTTGTTAATTAAGCAAAGCGATGAAGTAGCTGCTGCATTACACCCCACTGTGAAACTTGCAGATTTGCAGGTAATTCACTGAATCTAAGTTTACATCTGGCTTTCTCAGATGTGGTCTTGCTTATTTTGGTCTGCATTGAACGCTAGCAAAATTTACCGCCAATACAGAGTGACCCCCTATGCCAAAACTAACCCCTACCGATTTGTGGCTTTGGTGTGGTTTTTTTTCCCCAAAATCCCAAACAGAATAGCAGGGCCCAGACACAGCAGGAGTTAAATAGCGAGTCGTGGAGGCAAGGAGCTGTGAAGGACCCTCACGCTGAACGCCAGCGGTCCTAACCCCAAATCTCACCAAGAAAAAGCAAAGATCAATCTCCGAGTAATTCCAAGCAGCTAAAAACGAAGGTAATGTCAGAGAGAAGGTCTCCCGCAGGATACTGCTACACCTCACAAGCTGCAAAATGAAGAATGATGCATTTGCTGAGGTGATTGTGCCCCCAGGACACTTGACCGCGGACGGGCACCCAGCTGCTTGAAAAGCAGATCCTCTTCCCCGCAAACGGCTTCTGCTCTTCTCGCCTAGGGGATCTCAGGCCATCAAAGTGAAAA